TGCAAATCCATCCGAAATACGTCTACACTGGGCAGAGCCTCTCTGTGCAAAGTGCAGGCAAACAGCAGCTGCTGCACGGAGCCAGCTGCACGGATAAGGACACGACTCCGCCAGCCTGGGCCGGAAATGGCCCAGGGCCCCTGCCCGGACCGGGGCGATGCTGCGGGGGCGAGCAGTGAGGATGCCCAGCTTGGCACCCTGGGAAGGTGCCCCCGCAGCCACCGACTGGCTGCTCTTCCCACCCTGAGGACAGGATGCCTCCACGGGGCCGCGTGCAGGCAGGGCATGGTGCCGTTTGCCGAATGTCCTGCACGCGAGGCTGATCCAGTTGCCACAGGACTGGACAGGAGCAAATGGACAGGACCTTGATCCCGCTCCGGCAAGCCCTCTGATAACGAGCATGGTTCTACTTGTGTGGCTGCACATTAAGGGCCTTGCATATTGCCAAGGCTATTTTTGGTTCTGCTTTAGAATGGGTCCAGACAGCAAGCCAAGCCATGGTGGTTTTTCACTATTGTTGGTCTGTCCTGCTGTCTGAACCCAGTCATGACGTTTCACCGTGGCAAGCTTGCTGTTCAGAAACCATGCTAAGAAACACCCATTTGTTCTGTGGTTTTCCCATACTGCTATGGCTTGTTGTACAGTGGTACAATGACTCACAAACTTAATCCATTCCACGACTCTGGTCACAACCCAAACTGGTCGCAACCCAAATCAAATTTCCCCATAAGATTCAATGTAAATAAGGTTAATCCGTTCTGTAACCATTTTTTTAATCACAAAAATCTGAAACAAAGAACAGCCAAGTAACCAAGAACAACAAAGTTTGCGGCCATCCCCCGCCCCCGCACGACCACAATCGCGCCCATCTTCCCTGCATGGGCGCAGCAGCACTCGTGCAGGGGAGACGGGCGCGATCGTGATCATCACCCAATGCAGAGTTCGCAACCTGAGGCAAAATTTTTCTGAAATTTCTGTTTGCGACCCAATTTGGGCATGAACTGAGGCATTCGTGAGCCGAGGTTCCACTGTATCTCCTGAACCCAGGACCATGGTTTCCATGGACAGATAGAACAGAGTCCCGTGGGAAGAGAGCGTCTTTCTCAAGAACCTGCAGCAGCCCTCTAGCCTTCTTTCTCCTGTGAAGGCAATCCAGGGAGAGGGTGTATCAATGAGTTTCTGCAAGAGATTGAGGCTGAAAGCACGCACACATGTGTGTACATACACAAACAGGTACTCACAGTTTTCCCCTCAGCACAATGAAAGAAAATCATGATGAGCCTCAAATGAATGTTTTGTACATGAGATAGATGGGGTGTCATTCTCCATGCAAAGAATTAATATTTATTTCATATGAAATTTTAATGTTTTCAGCATAATGAAGGGCCAATTCAGTATGAATTAGAGATGAAAACATTTCAGGACATCAGTGACAGCAGCACATGGTCCTTGCCAATTAGCAGTGGAAGGCTCCCCATTTCTGAGAAACAGCATCCCCCCCACCCATGGAGAAGGTGCCCATTTCAATGGGGTGTTGAGGAAAGGGGCCAACACATCCCCCTTTTCAAGGAAAATTTGCCACAATTGGAGCCAAGAACGTATTGTTGCTAGGAATCACTTTACAAGAGGGTTGTTTTCCCAGTGCTGGGCCATCTTCCCTGCGCTCCCTCTCCTCACAGTCCCGGCCCAGCCCAGGTCAGGGTGCAGCACACGCCTGTCTCAGCCCCCAGTGGCAGCGGGGCCTCCGAGCTGCACCCCCCACACCCGTTCCACCACCCCATGCGGGTGGCGGGGAGTCATGGCACTGGCGGAGCGCAGCGGTGCCGAGAAGGGCCTTTCCACCACTTCCAGACCTGGCTAGCCCTCTGCTTCCACAGGGCAACAGCCAAGCAAGCAGCGCGGCGGGGCAACTTCCTTCTCCGTTGCATTCTGTCAAATGCGGGCCATCAGACCAAGCAGTGCATTCCTAAGACACACAGGCGCTGCCAAAGCCCCAGGACCAGCAAGCATGGCCACGCTTCATGGCCAAGCCCATGCCAGTGATGAGGACAGCAACAGAGCATCCCTCAGCGGAAGAGGTAACGGCAGACCACGTCATCCCTCTTCTGCAGAATGATGCAGAGTTCCAGAGGGAGCTGCTACCTTCATCAAGAAAATGGATTTTTTAAATCAACTGTAGTCTCATTCTTTGGAAATCAACATGAAGAAGGTAAGATTCACTCTGCCTTGACACGAACTCCCCAGTAAGTCACTGATTCTTTTAAGATAGTATCTTTTGTGTTCTACTTCTGCATTCCCAGCCTCTCAAACGATGCCAACTCATTTTCAATGTTCATTTGGAAGTTCTTGCATCATCCCACTTTGAAGAGGCTGCTGTCATTATGTGCTGTCTGCAATGTGACCCGGCTTTCTAAGCGCCAGATGACAGAGAAAGGGCAACTCCAAAATGGCCAAATGCTGCAAATACCCGTTGCCAGCCTGGTGGGAAGCAGGTGGCCAAGGCCTGCGGGACACACTGCCCTTCCTCCTCCACCAGGGAGCTGAGAAGTCTCCAAATTGGCCTCAAGGACACCGGAGGTGGCGAGCAGTGGCGAGCTGGTGACCGGCGCCCGGAGCTAATGGCCAGTCCCCAAGGGCTGGGGATGCGAGTCCGCTGACTCGCTGGGTGCGGGGAATGAAGCCCGAAGAGCTGCGCACCTTTTGTTTCTCTCTGGGAGAGGTTCCGTCCCACCACCATTCCTCCATATTTCGGACTGCTGTGGCGTCCTCATCAGCTGTGCTGGTAGAAGGCTGGGCTAGAAGTTATTTTCTTGCCCAAGTGGGCCAACAAGGCCCTGAGAGTGGAGTCCTTGGTTGGCTGGGACATTTCTCATTGCTGCTGTCCAGCCTCCTTTCCCCCCTCCCTTCCCCCTCTTCCCTGCTTTTCTCCTTTTAAGTTGTACGTTTCAGACCATCCACCCATATTTTTAACCTTTTAATAAAGTTGCTTCTTCCCCAAGCTTGGGCTTGTCATATGCTGAATCCAGTGGCTGGTCTCAGGTTCTGGGACCAGGGTATTACTGGGCAGGATTTGGCCCAGTTGACCAGGGGAGTGGGGAATCCTGGCTGGCTTTCCATTACACTGTCTAGTCATCACCAATCTAAGGCGACCCCATGAATGAAAGACCTCCAAAATCTCTATCCATGACAGCTCAGCGCTTGCAGCCATGATGAAATGACTCCATCTCACAGTGGTCTTCCTTTTCTTCTTCTACCTTTGATTTTCCCTAGCATGATTGTCTTCTCCAGGGAGTCTTGCATTCCATGATGTGCCCAAACATGACAGCTCCTGCTTCATCATTTTGGTTTCCAGGGCAAGTTTGGTTTGCATTCACCTGTTCATCTTTCTGTTGGTCAAGGGTTCACAGAGCTCTCCTCCAGCACCATGTTTGAATGCATCAGTATTCTTCCAGTTAGATTTCTTCCCTGTTCAGTTTTCACACTGTGATAGGGAACACAATAGTTTGAATGATCTTGACCTTGGTCTCCAGTAAAGTGTCCTTATCTTTTCTGGTTCCTTCATTGCTGCTTTTCCCAGTCTCAGTCTTCACACTTCTTGGCTGCCATCTCCCTTTGAATTGATGACTGAGCCGAGGTACGTGAAACTTTTCACAAGTTCTATTTCTTCATTGTTGACATCAAAGTTCTGTAGTGTAATTTTTCTGTAGTGATGAATTTTTATTTCTTTATATTCAGCTGCAGTCTTGCTTTTGCACTCTCATCTTTCACTTGTTCTCTCAATTCATTGCTTTCTGCTATTTATCATCTGCATATCTTAAATTATCTCCTGCCAGTTTTCACTCCTGCTTCCTCTGATACTAACTCAGCTTTCCTTACAGTGTCAGAGATTGAATGGATAGAGAGAGAAAATGCACCCTTCTCTGGCACCTTTGCCTACAGGAAACCATTCTGCTTCTCCATATTCTGTCCTGACAGTAGCTTCTTGTCCACAGTAGAAGTGAACAATCAAGTGTGGAGGCACCCCCATTTCTTTCAGGACTATCCAAAGCTTCTCATGACCCACACAGTCAAAGGCCTTGCTGTAGTGTACAAAAAAGAGACTCATCTTCTGAAATCCATAGGAGCACTCCAGTAGCAAACATATACTTGAGATATTCCTTTTCAGAATCCAACACGAGAGTTAGGCATTTCTCGCTTCATGGAGGGTAATAATAGCCTTTGTTGCAGCTACTCAACCATCACTTTGCTTCTGTGGGAAATTAGTAAAATGGTCCTGTGGTTGCTGTACTCTTTTGCATCTCCTTTCCTGAGAACTGGGATGTATGTTGAACAATTCCACTCTGTGAGCCATTGCTTGATTTTCTATATTTGTTTGCTTATCCTTGTTCAAATTTGGACTTATCCAGTCTCTGCGGCTTGGAACAGTGTCTTCTCTATTCTCTACTGGTGTCCTCTCTATTCCTTCCAGCTGCTATCAGAGCAGCTTTCACTTGGCTTTCTAATATTTCAGGCTCTTGCTGAAAACGGCACTGCTCCTCCTCTTCAGAAGAATCTGCCATCTTTTCATCTCATCTGTATAGCTCTCCACCTATTCTTTCTATCTTCTCTTTATTTTATCCTGGCCAGAGAATATGCCCCCTTATTTGTCTTCCAGCATTCCTAATACAGATTTTCATTTTCCTTCCATTTCTTGGTTCTTCTGGGAAAGGTCTCCTGTTTTTCCTCTTTTATTATTCTCCTCTATTTCATTGCACTGGCCACTGGAATATTTATTTATTTATATTTATATTGTGATTTATACCCTGCCTTTTCCCTACAAAGGGCTCAAGGCAGCTTGCATCATTCTCCTCCTCCATCTTACCCCCACAACAACAACCCTGTGAGGTAGGCTGGGCTGAGAGTCTGTGACCGGCCCAAAGTCACCCAGTTGGCTCCATGGCTGAGCGGGGACTAGAACCCAGATCCTCTGAGTCCCAATCCCATGCTCTTAACCACTGCACCACACTGTTTGTCTCTGCATGACAGCCCTGAAAAGTTGCATCCAGGATTCTGCCCCTATTTCTGTCACCTTTTGCTTCTGCTTCTCACCTGGCCCTAACCACTAGGAACGTGTCTTCTTTCACCCACCTAGTTGTTTTCTTCCTTTTTGCGACACGAGTGGCCTTTTGGCATTCAATCCTAACCACGCCTCTGGATTCAGTCCACAGTTCTTCTGGCTCATGGTTAATCGATTCATTAATGCAAATCTGTTCTACATTTAATTCCTCGGGGTTGTTATTGAAGTTGTATTTTGGCACGATACCTCTCACAGTGCTCTTCCTCAGCTTTACTCTGATTTTTGATATGAATAGTCCATGATCGATACCAGGGGTGGGACAAACCCTTTCAGAATCCATCCCTTCAGAGTCCACAGATCTTCTCTGGTGCTCAGCCTGCCCTGCAAAGGGAGCTGAGCTGAGAGGAAATCTGTGAATGCTCAGAGGTCCCCCATTGCACAGTTGGCGCCTTCCCCAGCTGTCATTTCCAGCAACCAACCTTCTTCCCCATCACTGCTGAACTGGTGCCAGGGGGACCTTTAAGCCCCTCAAGCCTTAGGTTTTAGCCGGCCGCTCTTCCTCTGTCCACCATAACCTTCCGTGCTCTTCTGTGAACCAGCATGGCTGCTTCCTCATCGTCGCCGCTGCCACCACCACAGGACTCGGGCTGCAGACTGCAGACTGCAGACTGCAGAGCTGGAAGTCCTCTTGCTTTCTGTAATCAGAGTTTCCCTTTAAAGGAGTAGAAGACACAGATGGCTGAAGAAGCACTCTTTGCATTTGGGTTAGATTGTGTTCTGTTCCTTTCCCTGACTAGCAAAACTACAGGATAAAGGGCCAACCAGGTTGCAGGCTGCAGAATGCACCATTTGGGAACACAGAGTGTGGATCGCCAGGACAAGGAACGCGTGCAGCCTTCAAGACTCGATGAGCGCACAGACTAGCTCTGCACCGTCCTCGGTCCAGGATGATCTTGGCATCCCCAGAACAGCCACGCACTTGCCAGTCCATTTGGCTTCTCCCTTCGCATCCTTTTCCAACAAAAGCCTGTGGCTGCCTGGCAACCAGAGACTGAAACTGTCAAAACACCAGTCAGTCTATTTTCATCCTCCCTGCTGCAATAAATCTAAACTGTGACATAAATTAAATTAAACTTTCCAAGTACTCTGAGTTTTATTAAAGGGAATGGAATGTTAAATCTTTTTGTTTCTTCTAGACAAACACACAAACATTTTAAAAGATCAAAATAAATGCCCAATTTGACAGCAGCACATCAACTGCTGGCTGATTTATGGGCAAGTTGAGAACAGCCCTCTTTCCCCACATTTCTTTTGCTACTTAGATTATTTCAGTGTTAATCACGCATGCCTCTCTTGCTAGCCACTGGCCGGCAATATGGCCAAGGTGGGCAATAAACCCCCCGAGACCCCCCGTGCCGGCTCCTGGGGATATATAGATGATGGGAACTTGTATCGTATTGATGCTTCGTTATTTGAGGAACAAACCAAGGATCCTCCTCTTCTGCTCCCCAGGGCTGTCCTCACACCACCTCGCAGCTGCCCCAGGAGCAGAATGGGCTAGCCAGGCCTGGGAGGGGGCCACAAGCAGCTGCCCAGAAGCACAAGGGGGCTTGCAGAGGCCTCCCGACCTCCCAAAATGCCTCTCCCTTTCCATGTTCCAAGGTCAGATCAGGCCCGTCCTGCAACCGGTCAAGCACAGGAACCTCATGTGGGCTTTCTACACTCATGCACCCATGTGGGCTTGGACTCGCACACCCACACAGCCCGTGTTTGTGGCTGCCCAAGGCCTGGAAGAATGTGCTGTGCTGGGCTGGGCCAGGCTGGGCGGAGGGCAGCTTCCGGGATTCCCAGGTGCCCTGAAATGAGCTGGCCGCCCTGGATTCTGCCAGCTCCTTTGCTGCAAGCACAGGCCTGGCATGGCTGCCCTGGTCTGTCAAGCCTGGAGCCGGCAGGCTGCAGTGGGTCCCAAGGCCGTAGGCAGGGAATGACCTACCCCGGTGCTGCCAAGATCCCTCCATGGCAGTTCTGGAACGGGCAAGCGATGCCCTGCAGGACACCCGGTCCCCCATCAGATTCCCAGGGCAGCTTACAAGGAATCAAGGCTACAATTTTATTTCTTAAGTTGGCAGAGCAATTCAAAGCAAAAACACTAAAATTTAAGTAGCAGTATAAAGTCAATCAGCAGAAATAAAATGAAATAAGGCGGCATAAAAGCAATTAGCGACAGTCAGCATGGGAGTGTCGGCATGGGTCTTGGCCGGGCAGCAAAACAGCACGGAAGCGGCCCCGGAGCTCCCTGCACGCAGCGCACCCACGTCCTGCCCCAGGCACACGCCCTCCTCTCGCCCTGGGCCTCCCTGGCAAGGACCCGAAGCACAGCGGCCAGGCAAATGCACGGTGTGTGCTGCTCCCCTGCCCCCAGAGCAGAGCTCTTTCCAGGGCCCCCTGAGGGCAGCTGGGACAGGCGCTGGCCGAAGTGATGGGTGTGGAGACACGCCCTGGCTAAAGGCCCAGGAAAGCCTCTCAGGGCACCCGGATCCCAGCTCAGGAGGCAGCTGGTGCAGGACAAAAAGGGGGCGACCCCAGGCAGGGCTGCAGGCAGGGGGCAGTGCAACTGCCCAGGCAGCCTGGGGGGTCTGAGCTTCAGCGCAGGCAAGAGGGCAGTGCCAGCACCCATAGCTGTGCGGTTCTAAAGGTCCGGAAGGAGATCACCTGCCCAGAAGGCCTGGTGCACAGGCAGAAGTAGGAATGGTGAGCTGCCCGGAGAACGGATTAATCCCAAGGCAAGTCAGCATGGCAGACGAGAAGGAGTGCCCCGCCACATAATAAAAGGAGCCAGAAGCCACAGGGAACCGCTGCATAAAGGCAGAGAAAATCGGGTGCCAGCACGGCGAAACAAGCCCAGCATCTCCACTCAGTCACAGGGTGAGGGCGGGGCTGTCCGTGCTCAGGGCTCCACACACCTGGGACGGCGCGCAGGACCAGGCAGCTACGCTCCTGCCCAGGCCACGCTTTATTGCACACAAAACTTTAGGAGAGAGCCGGCACGCTCCGAAGCTTGAATTCTGCAGAAGAGCGCTGAGCACACTGACATGGGCTGAAATAAGAGACGCGGGACACCCGAGGTAAGAATGAGAGACGTACAGATTTCTCAGTTACAGCTTCCCCAAATGTATCAGTTTTTGAATATCTGGCTTTTTATGAATGATTGTCATTGATCATTTATTAATGATTGAGATGAGGAAGTACAAGGAAGAGGATTAAATTTCCAGATGATACAAAGCTGGGTGGAATAGCAAATACCCTGAAAGAAAGAGCTAAGATACAGGTTAGAATGCTGGGCAAAGAACAGACTAAAATTCAGTGAGGACAAATGCCAAACCCCTCCACTTAGGAACAAGAAACCAAATGTGCTGCTACAAGCCGAGGAACAATCAGCTCAACAAAACTGCAAATGAGAAGGATCTTGGGGTTGTTGCAGATCACAAGCTAAATATGAGCCAACGATGTGATGTAACCGCAGAAAGGGCAAACGCTGTTTCTGAATGTTTTAACAGAAGCATCACTTCCAAAACACGTGGAGTACGAGTTCCGCTATACTCAGCACTAGTCAGGCCTACCTGGGGTGCCGTGTGCAGTTCTGGGCACCAAGATTTGAGAAAGATGCAGAAAAGCTAGAAAGGGCACAGAGGAGGGCAGCGAGGATGATTCAGGGGCTGGAGGCAAATCTATGAGGAGAGGTTGAGAGGACTGGGCATGTTCAGCCTCCGGAAGAGAAAACTGAGGGGAGATATGATAGCCCTCCACAGGTAACTGAGAGGCTGTCACAAAGAGGAAGGACAAGATCTCTTCTCATTTATCCCAGAGTGCAAGACACGGAATAACGGACTCAGGTTTAAAGAAACCAGATTTAGACTAGACACCAGGAGGAACTTCCTCTCTGTCAGATCAGTACCTCTAAGCTGGGGAGTCGTGCGCTCCTCTTCGCTGGATGCATTCCAAAAGCATTTGACAGCCATCTGAATGGGATGGTGTCCTGCAGCAGCAGGGGCTGAGACCCGGCTGCCCTCTGGCCTCTTCCAATTCTACTATTCTATGATTCTAAGACCATTTTAGAAATTCACGAAAATTCATAGAAATTCACTTATGTACACAATTGGTATAATGCATGTATTCTTGCCTAAGTTATGCAAACAGTTGTTTTAAAATAATGCATTTTGGAATATTATCTTCCCAAATATACACACTTCTTTAATGGAGCATTCCAATGCAAACTGTAGAGAAGTGTTGAAGGTTTAGTTTGCATAGTGACTTGCAAGTGTGAAGATGGTCATGTGTTTGTATTAAAAGATGAACAGAACTTATTTTCCCACCTGCTACTGCAGGACATGCCTGGCCAGCCGGCATTAAATGCAGCGGGCTAGTCATGGTCTTCTGCAGTGCTGAAGCAATCAGAGCCGAGCCACAGAGGCAAGGAGCACAGAATCCATGGCTGCTCCAAGCCCTGGCATCCCAGGCGAGAGCAGAAACCACCAGAATTCCAGTGTGCCAATCAGCATCCGAGCAGGAATTTCAGTTCAATGAGTGTCTGTCACTGGCACCTGGTCACTGAAGGTATAAAAGGGAACTGCACCATGTTTTCCAGGTCAATCACCCATTTGCTTGTGATTGAATAAAATCCATTTTTTCCCTCTCGCTTCTTGTCATGCTTGATTGGTGCATGTGCCAAGGCCGGACCTCGTGTCCTGCACTATCCTCTGGCCATCCCTAGTGGAAATGTAATGCACAACCCACTTTTCCAGGTTGCAGAAAATCAGACCAGGGAAGCATTACAGGCTCAAAACATGCTTAGAAATTCTTCCCCAAAACAGCTAATCAATGATGATGACAGGCCTGATCAGCTGCCATCAGTTCTACAGATGGAAAATTAAAACATCCTAAATGCAAAGACTAGGGGGCAATAAAGCAAGGAAACAAAGCCAAGTTGGGGGAGAACAAACGGCTTGGCTTATGCGACCCACCTCCGGTTTGCTTGCTTGCAAAGGATAAGCAGGGAGGTGGCATTCTCCCTCTGCAGATCTATTTACAGTGAAGAAGCATATTTATGGGATTTGTTTTATTTGCACAATGGTGCTTTAGTTGCCCAATTTCTGCCATGACTTGTAAAAACTTCTTAATCCGAGGAAAGTGTTCTGAGTACATTTTAGACTGAAGATTGGAGATTTTTAAAGGAAAAAATCAGGCAAAAATATCTAGAAAGCCAAAAGGTAGGTTTTAAAGATTAGTGTTAAAGCACTCTTTCACCTAGGCACTTTTGCATTTTAATATTTTAAAACATTATCCAAAGAAGTGTTTTAGTGCTAAAAGGTTGTTTCATTTTGGTAGGTTGATTTGTCCTTAAAATATTATGATATGGTTCTTCAGGGCTGTTAAAAGTGAAGATGCACCAAATGTTGATCCGTTTACTGCCCAGGACATTGTACTTCACTGAAATGGCATCTCTTCAAAAGCCCTAAGCAAACCACTTCCAAACAACCAGCACCTGCAGTGCAAAGATTCTGATCCATCCACCCCTCAAATGTCAGATTTATTTAGAGTTTGAGAAAAGGAACCCCATAAAATGGGCAAATGAGGTACAACGTTTCCACAAAAAGGCTGCATTCACCTGAGGATAAGTCCCATGGAATTCAGCGGAGCTTCCTTCCAGGTAAACATGTCTGCTATCCCACGGTAATAATGTGCTGCAAATAAGGCATTCCTTCTCCCCAGCTCAAGATTATTTCGAATGGTTTAACCCTGCCTGGGCCATTATTCTTTTTCTGGGTTACTTCTTGGCTGTTACAGTTTAAGGCCCAGCCTTTCAGACATGCCACTTTTAGATTGCCCTGGCAATACCCTTTTTCCCTTACTTCTTCAGTTTTAACAGCAGAAATAGTCATTAGACATAACACCGTAAGTATGAAATGCAGAGGTGAATTCTTTCTCCCCAAGAGAAAAAAAATTAAAAGTGCAGTATTTTAATGTGATTTTTAGTCAACATGCTCTTTTTTGTTATTACTGGCTGTGTGGACAGTTTTGGGGTGCACATAACAAGCATTAGGATTTGTGGCCATTTTTAAAGGTCAACCAAGGCCCCTTTCAGTAACGTCCTCTTTTTTTAATTTATTGGAGTCACCCAAAGATAAATTGGCATGGAAATGCTCCTTGTCACCTTTCGAGGCGATGGAAAGGCTGCAGTTCCGTCCCACTCAACTCAATTATCCCTGGCTCCAGTTTGAGAGAGAAGCGCCGAAGCTTCCCCTCACCCCGCTCGCTTCTGCCTGGCTAAGTTAATAACATTACAACTGGGCTTCGACGCACCAAAGGGTTTTGCAATTACTCCGAAGGGAATTCTGCTGTGGGGACGCAGGTGCTGGCAGGAAATGCCATCCCACCTCCTCACCTGCCGCTGGTGTTCAGGTTAATGTCAGGGGCGCACTGGAGTCACAGAACACTCTTAGGGGTGCTCCCAGACACCCCCCTTCTCCCGGTGCCTCGCAAGCGTGAAGCAACCGCTTAGCAGGGTGAGCGCAGCTTCCGGATTATGAAAAGGCGGCTTGCGAGCAGCAGGGGCTGAAGCGGTGTTAAATAATGATGTACTACATTAGGTTAATCTAATTTGTTCCCCCGCTAATAGGGCATGTACATGGTAATAAGCAATATTGCGCATGGAGCCGTGAAGCAGGCACTGATCCAGGGCTGCCAAAACCTGCCTGTTCAGCCCGCAAAGTTGTGCGGCGCGCGAGGAGAGTCCAGGCGGCGCAGGGGGGCCTCTGCTGCAGCGCGGACTCCCTTCCCTCCCAGGGCAGGTGCAAGGCGCGGGGAGGCGGCGGTGCGCCCTGCGCGCCTCCCTCGCCGCAGCACCGTCGGAAGAGACCAGGCCAGTCCCTGCCCCTCCTCCACGGCTGGCAGTAGGGCGGGGGCGGGGGGGCTCCTTTGTAAATGCCACTGACCGGGGGGCAGCCGCTGCAACGGGATCTCGGCCGGCCGCGAGGAGAGGCTCCGGGAGAGGAGAGCCAGGGCGGCACGGAGAGCCCTGCCGTTGCCGCGCTGCGTTGTGGCACAGGCCCTTCGGGTGCAGCCGCAACAGGACTCGGCGCCAGTACATCATGGCCTGCTCGAGCAGGCGGACGCCAGCCCGCGCCATTCCTCCGAAGGGTTGCACATTGTGGGAAGGGGCATGGGGAAGGTTGCTTACCTTCGGGGGGCATTTACCACCCCTGGAAGTCTCACGCTCACCGAACAGCAGCCGGGGCTGGAAGCTGTCCTTTCCAAAAAGGATTTTTCGGTGGAAAGTTTCAGCATGGCATTGCTCTGGCCGCACAGCCCTCAGCCTGGCTCCCCCTTCCAGGCAAATCGCCAGCACTGGGCCACAAGAACGTGTAGAAGCAGGTGGAGGGCGGGGCAGGGGAAGGGCCGCAGTCTGCAAGGCCTGCCACGGAGGAAGAGCCCCAGAACAAGCCGTGCTGGGAAAAGGAGCCCCTTCTTGCCCTGCACTTGTCCTTCTGCCTCGTGAGACTTCGGGCACCTTTGCACAGAGGCTGAGGGATGCCAGTGCGCACGGACGGACACGAGGCAGCACCCCGCACCAGAACGCCCGTCCGTCTCCACCCCTGCAAGCCGGGAGGGCAGCTTGGCTCAAGCTGAGTGCAGCCATGGAGGTTTCGGCAGGCCTGCCTCGCGGCTGAGCGGGTGATAAGCTCCATCTCTGAGCTTCATGTGCAGTGACTCACATACCCAGGTGAGGGTCCCGTTGGCACTGCCCTCGGTGAGTTGCAGCCCCAGCCCCAAACGCGCAGTGCGCTATTCTCAGCAACCCACTAGACGGAAGTGCCTCGAGCACATTCAGCACGCACTCGTCTGAAGGGTTGCTCCGTGCATCCAGAGCTGGCACAGCCTTGCCAGTCCCCATTCTCTGGCAGGGGCTCGTGTGGGAAAAGCCAGGGCTGTCGGGTGCCCTTTCCCTGGATTGACTGATTCATCTGCTGCCTTCTAAGTGGTCCTGGATGGTGCTCAAGGAGCCAGCCCTCCCTGGCCATGAAGGGATGCTGCAGACAACCGGCCTCTTAACGGGCTGGAATGAGGGAGGCAGGAGCTGGAAGACCTCGGAATCTTCCTTTGCGGGTTGGCGCTCAGAGGGCATGAGTGGGTGGTCCCTGGGCACAGCTGCGTGCAAGACAGGCATGAGGGAAGGCTCGTCCAGTCCTCTGGACCACTGGACCCAGTGGGGGGCCATCAGGGTTTCATGGGGCAGCGGATCCCCTCATTTGGCTGTTGATCATCTGGCACCAGTTAACATCATTTAACGCTTCCGAGACCGACTGTGCACATCCTGCATTTCTCTCTCTCCCTCTGGACGGGGGCACGATATTTGGATTTTCCACCTCAAATGCCAGCCTGCCTCGTGCCTGCCTGACCTCACACAGCCCAGAGCGGGAGGCCTCCCTCTGCAGCCCTGCTGCCAGTGGGGCTGGATTCCCTTCAGGATGATTGCCAGACCTGAGATGCAGCTTCCATTAAGCACTGATTGATGGACAGTTTTGCTTGCCTGCCGTGGAAATGGAGGAAGGGGAGGCGAAGGGCCATTCGGCAGCCTGCCACCCTCTCCTGACAGGCCGAGACCCAAGCAGTTCCTCTTCTGTATTTTAAGTACTGGGCAGGAGTTTATTTGGGTGGGCTGGGTGCCCCCAGGCAGCTGATTACAGGAGTGCTGGGATGGGGGAGGGGCAGGGCAGAGCTTTTGTCCCAAGCACAGGAGGAGATTCCACCAGGCCAGGGGGAGAGAACGCATTTGGGAGGGAGGCTGCCCCCAGCTGCCCTTCCCAGGGCCCAAGGCTAGGAGTGGTGCGCCAAAGACCATTTGGGAGGGAGGCTGCCCCCAGCTGCCCTTCCCAGGGCCCAAGGCTAGGAGTGGTGCGCCAAAGACCCCGGGTGGAGCAGCAGCCCCCTGTGGGGGAGGCAGCAGGGCCGGTGGCAAGAGTGCTGGGCTGGGACAGGGAAGACACAGGGTTCAGCACCCGCCCGATCGGGGGGCCCCCGGGTGACGTTGGGCCAGCTGCTGACTCCTGGCTGAGCCCACCGCACGGGAAATAACAGAGAAGGGCTCGGCAAGCTACCTCAGATGAGAAGCATATGTCTTCTGGGTTCAGACAACATGGCAAGCCATGTGGGGCGAAATCCTGAACTCACCCTCACAAGCTTCTAAGCTGCCCCTCAGGAAGCAAGGAAGGGCCTCCCCGCACCCCGTGGCTTGGCGTGTCCCCCACGAGCTGCCCCTGCCAGATCCACGGCAGTCTCATGGCCCACGCTGAGGCCACTGGCCACTGGCAAGCCCAGCCACAGAGTGCCTTGGGGCCATGCGGAATGGAAGGTGACTACCTGGATATCATCTGCCTGGGCTCTAGCGATAACCATTCCATGCGAGAGTGCCTTTTCCAGCTATTTTAATTTTGTATACCTGCACAGTGAACTATAACCATTCCATAATTTCATCATTCCAGATTTCAGTAAATTTTGTCATTTATGTCAAAGGAAGTGCTTCTGCTTTCCCCCAGGAACAGTATAACATGAAGGGGAAAGCTGTGTGTGGGTGTTCTGTTATAGAAGCGTAATTTCAGTATTCCTCCATGGGGATGTTTCCTAACATTACCAATCAAAAAGGCATTATGCCACTCTTCTGCCTCTGTGGAAAGAAAAAATAGTACTCATTGTTTGGACCCCCACCCCCGGGCCTGGTAAAGCTCCGTCGTTGAAGCAGGATGGCTCTCCACCCTGAAGACCAAGCCTGGAAGGCCCTCAAGAAAGGAAGAGAGAGCTTGCCCCCTTTTGGGGGTGAGCAGATGATAAACTGCAGGCCTACTGCTCTTGCGCAAGTCCAGTATAATTTTTTGTAAAAGTGCACACAGAGGTGAACAACCTAACAGGACGGCGTGCATGAGGACGTGGCCGGCAGAAGGGAAGGGAGCCGGGACGGAGGGGGCACAGCCGTGGCTACATCTTGGCTTGCTGCATCCACATCCGCAGAAGGGCAACATGGGATGCAGCCCACAAAAGCCATGTGGGAATGTCCTGCTGGCAGTGGGGTGGCAGGGGCAGACTGGCGAGGGGCATGGTGGCTCCTCCTGGCACAGGCACGGTCATCTCACTTGCAAGTCCCCGCGAGTTTGGGGCAGAAGGAGAACTTGCTTCCCCGCCTGTGCAGGTGCCTGTCATGGGCACCCTCTTTCTGAAGGGGTTTTTCTTCCCACCTTTCTTTTTGTCTGTCTGTAGATTTCTTCAAACAGCTCTCAACTGTGATGTGACTGGTAATGAGAAGAATGAAGAGAAATCGATGAAGCAGCCAAGTGAGGAAAAACTAATGAAAATCTGCATCTGAGGCGCAACTGTGTCCACGTGGCAGGGGAGGGGCGGGCAGAAGGGCCGCTGGCTGATCCCGGCTCACAAAACGCCGGAACTGCTGAAGCGGTGCACACCTGTGCCGCTGCTGCCAGGCCTGGCCGGAGTCCTGGAGAGGAACTGCATGGGCCACCAGTGCCAGGCTGCAAGCAGAAGGTGCCCTCTTCCATCACAGCAGGGCTGGGGAACCTCCGCCCAGGGTCCAGTGTGGCCGCCAAG